CTTTATTTTTAAGAGTGTAGTGTAAATTTAACATAGATACAGATGCTGTATCTATTGCATGTGACATGTTTTTTTTACTGACACAACTCAGAAACTCAAAACTTTCCCCATTATAATTATGACTACATAGTGATGTTCATGTGCATTCAACTCAAAAATATAATCTTTCCAACATGACTTGTACAAGTTATTAATTTACATATATTAGCAACATTGTAACGATAAAAACCTGGTTCAAAATCTGCAAACCTATTCTTTAAATTACTAAAACTTACTGTTAACTGAAAATATAAAAATAAAATGTGACCTGAAAATGTAAAAAGTAAAGCTAAACCAAAAAAGCTAAATGCTATGTATATAAAAAAAAAATACTAAAATAACACTAATCTCCGTAGTTTCTTCCACCAGTCTATGGGTATCTCATGTATTATGGCTGAGAGCTGTTTATTAAACAGACTCGATGAATTGCAAAACATTTAGTGAATTAATCTGATTAATGTACCAATTAAATGGCATTTAAACAGTTTCACACCCCACCTACACTGCAAGCGATTCAACATGCCATGACAAAACAAGTATACTCCTATTATAATCAGCGCACTTACTCTCAGTCTATGCAGCTATGTTCATTAATTATAATAGGAACGCTATAGGTTGCCACATCACTCACATGCAGTGCAGACACGAGGGGGGGGGGGTCAGACTTTGAATATCCATTAGACCCCAAAGAAGTGAGTTTTCCACTGTTTCACCAACAGCCAGACTGTCATTTATCGTCCATTTATCGTTAAATGTCACGCAGGTATATCTAGTAAAGGCAGAGTGAGTTCAGTGTTTTGTAGCCGAGCAGAGGGGGTGTTTTAACAGCGACGTAGTGTCACCGAGTGCGCTGGTGGATGGATTCGCTGTTTAAGTTGACACAGCTGTGCACCAGGATGTCAGATCGAACCCTGCGTCTCTGTTTGTAATTCTCCCCTCAGAGAGCATATTTCCTCTGCTATAAATAGCCGTCCTCCCATATATGCCTGTGGATTTGTGTTTGTTTGTTTTTTTCTTCCATGTTCCTGCTATATTTGTAGATGAATGGACAGGAAGGAGCGTGACTGCTCGCAGGTCTATGGCCCTTGTTTATAGTCGGTTGGGGCTGGAATGATGTGAAATGACAGTGTAGTCAAGGCGACCGGCTGACAGGATGACCCTCGGTGTTGGCCCCCATCTCTCTCCGGCTGCCTTCCTCTCGCCCCGCCATGTCAAAGACCTCCGGCCCGTGCAGGGGCGAAACCGCGTGCGCTGCCTTTGAAAACTGCATCGGGTTGTCTGGAGTGTCACTTTCACAGGAGACTATCCGGCTCTGCAAAATTGATGATCTTGAGGAAAGTTTCGCTTAGAGATGGATTATCTTACACTCTTCAAAATAAAGGTTCCAAAAGGGATTTTTCATAGTGATGCTGTAGGAGAATTGTTTTTGGTTCCCCAAAGAACTTTTCAGTGAACTGTTCTTAAAAGAACCATTTTCTTTTTTATTGTGAATAAAAAGATTATTCTTTTTTCACTATAAATATCCATTTGTTGAATGAAAAGATTAAAGGCCCTTCATGGAACCAAAGATGCCAATAAAGAAACTTTATTTTTAAGAGTGTAGAAATACAGGTTCCAAAGTGTATAAATAAGAGATAATACAAATACAGGTTCCAAAAGGCGTTTAGAAGAATTAGAGAGAATAATTATTTTGAGATCCTCAATGAACCTTTCAGTGAAGTTACAGTTAGAGAACAGTTGTTAAAAGAAGCATTTTTTTGTTCTGTGTGAAGAACATTTTGTCAGCTAAAAAACAAAAAAAACTTTTTTTTACTCTACACACCTAAAAATAAAAGTTCTTTATAGCAATTATGGTTCCATGAAGAACCTTTAACTTAAGAAGTTGACAGCGAATACCAGCATTTTTTGTTAATTTTATCACTTGCAAATTTCATGGCCACAAAATAGTTTGTGTATATCTGAACATACAATATGTGAAAAGAAAGAACAGAGCAGCTACTTTTAAACTAAACAAACTGTATTTTTTTAAGCGTCATACATCAATGCTTGAATATTTTGTTCCTAAAAAAGCAACATTTTGAACAAAAAGCTGAGAAAATTGCATTTTTGTCAAAGGCCCTGTTTACACTAGTGCGTTTTCATTTTAAAACGGCGTTTTAAAATAAAAACGATCCTCGTCTACACTGGCGTTTTCACTGTGTTTCAGAAACGATCTCTGTCCACACTACGCAACCGAAAACGCAAGTCACATGACCATTCGTGCAGGTACAGCCATAGATAAGTATACGTAGATGCCTCATTAGCTACTGTTTCTATGGGCCGCGGTACGTAAGCCATCCGCCATTTTTGGAACGGTCTGCAAACTTTTGAGCGCGTTGACTGTGTGCGTCTACAACAGCAAGTTATACGCTTGTATATCTTTGAATACTCATTGATAATTATGGTGAATTACATCAAGTTGACTGTCCCAAAGTGGCGGACGCGTCAACGTTTCTGGAGCGGTCGAATAGGGCGTCTATACATATCTATTGGTACAACAATGAGCATGATGTTATTGTTTACACGGTCATCAAGGATACGCAGAGCGAAAGTGGGCAGCCACGCCACCGTTTTAAAAAGTCTCCGTTTTGGTCCGTTTACACTGAAAACGCAACCCCGGAGTTTTCAAACGTAAAACGATGTCTGCAGCTGCAGGGTCAAAAATGGCGGAGTAGTTTAAACGACAGGCGTAACTGTAGCAAAAGTTATGCATTTTAAAACAAAAACGCACTAGTGTAAACGTAGCCTAAGACTACGTACAGATCAGATTCAGAATGATGAACAAAACGTTGTCCATCAATGCCCCCAAACCTTACACAGTCCCATAACTCTTCATGGGTTCCACATTTAATTCAGTAATGTTTGGCAGTTTTGATTTATATGCTGTTGAATGTTTGATGACCGCTTTAGCTTACATGTGCGTAAGCAATGATTCGATCGCTTGTTTCTGCTTCTTCTTTGCTTGTTTTTGGATCCTGAGATTCTGTACTATTTCAGAAGATGTCTATTAGCGCCCCATATCCCCCACCCCCAATTGTATAACTGTGAAAACATGGATTGCAGGAAAATTCTGTCATTGGCGGGTAAAGAGTTAATATCCATGAAAACTTTACACTGCACAATAGGTTCTTTATAGGAGAAAAGGGTTCTAAGAGGGAAAAAATTGTTATTTTAAAAATTTATATTTTAAAAACTGTTCACTGAAAAGTTCTTAGGGGAATCCAAAATAGTTTTCTATAGCATCACTGTGAAAACCCCTTTTGGACTCTTTATATTTAAGAGTGTATAGAACGTTTTGTGCAGTGGAAGGGTTTCATGGATGTTAAAGGTTCTTCATGGAGGCTTTTTGCCAATAAAGATCTCGGGTTTGAGATTTTTGCCTTTCCTTTCGTGGCTTCTGTGAGTTCACGCTTGCTAAGGGGACGGTGGCACTGTGCAGGACAGGATCTTTTGAGTAATGGGCTTCCTTTCTTGTGTGCCTTTTGCCTTGTCTTTCCCCTCCCAAGCATGAAATTGGTGTCTAAGCGCACTTGATCTTGGCAAGGCTTCCTGTTCCTTCCTCTGGCAGGGCAGACCCACACTGTGCACATGTCCCCGTGGACGTCCAGAGCTGATATCAAGTTTCAAATTCTGCTTCCTTTACGCTTATGTTAAGTCTCACATGCCCCCTCTTTGTTTGGTATATTATAACATTGTTTACATAGCTGGGATATAATTGGATGGTGTGTATGCAGGAACAGCTCATGTTTAAGGTTATAATTTAGCTTACTTGACTAGCTAGTTGGACAGAGGATTATTTTATTGCCCTGTCTGTTTCATGTCACTCAGTCAGCTCTGGTACGAATATGTTCACAGGAAATGGCAAAAAAGGAGAAAACTTTTCCATCTGACAGAGGAACGTGCCTTTGATTTGTCAGTGTCAGTGAAATGTTCACACTACTTTTACACTTTTCACCACAGACTTTGATTATTTTCCCAAACCTGAAGCTAACAAAGCACATAAATATTGGGTCAGGTAGTCCCAAATACCTAAATATTGGGCAATTAGGTTGAACTATTTTTAGTTCTTTGTTTTGGTTTTGAATGAATTGTAAGGCCAGAAAAGTACTCATCCAAAAAACACTCTTCTCATAAGCGCAAAGCAGAAATGTACAATTGATTTAAACAGTGTTGGGTGTTAGCATGTTGCTATGCTAACACAGTACAGACAAATACATCTTAACAAATAAATGGGTCAAATACTCCCATATTCCCAAATACTGGTCAATTTTTATTTTGGGATTGAACTATTTTTAGTGCTATGTTCTAAGATCGCATAATCATACTGTGATACATAATCGCGATTAATCACATCCAAAATAAAAGTTTGTGTTTCCATAATATATGTGTGTCTACTGTATTTATATGTGTATATATAAATACACACACATACATGTATATATTCAAGAAATATATATATATATATATATATATATATATATTCATATTTATGTAAGATTTATAATATATATAAATATAAGTATTTATTACATATATTCCTTAAAAATATACATTTATGTGTGTGTATTTATATGTACATATAAATACAATAGACACACAAAGTTTATGTAAACACAAACTTTTATTTTGGATGCGATTAATCACAATGAATCGATTTGACAGCCCTAAATAAAATATATGTAATCAGCATTCTCTAGATTTTCTTTTTTTTGTGTGTGTGTGTTTTTTATTGAGCATTCTGGCATTGATGGATACTGCCTAGATATAATGCTACCTTCGATTGTAGCCCAAATAAGGTGTCTTAGCTCTGGAACAATTAAACATGTACAGAGCTAATCTATTCATCACTACTAGTGATTTTGTGCTGTGTGCAAACACTTAAATGGTTCCTGACTTCTTGTTCTACCTCTCTCTTTCTGCAGGCGAGCGTGAAGGAAGGGCTGCTTCTGAAACAGACAAGCTCGTTCCAGCGTTGGAAAAAGCGTTATTTCAAATTGCGGGGACGGACACTCTACTATGCCAAGGATGCCAAGGTTAACTATTCTTTCATTATATCCTGATACTGATTCTACACCCTCACTACACTGTAAAAAATTTCAAACCTTTAACCTTAAACCTTAAAAAGAGTGAACCACTGCACTTCTTAGTTTTACTTAATTACTGATAAAGAAAGTCCAGTTGTGTTCAAAAACATTTTTTTATAATGATGCTAACATTTTTTAAAGTAAGCCCCCTACAATAAGCCCTACAGAGTGATCTAAGGTAAGGGGGTAAAAAAACCTGCTTGACCATGGTTCCTCTCAGGACCTAAGTTACTGGGCATGCCTGTGCTGAGAGGGGCTGAAGAGCTGCAAATGGGCACCTGCATAGCACCTTCTGCCATGCCTAATATATATAACGTCACTATGTGTGTGTGTGTGTGTTTGTGGTTGCACTATGGCAGGCGGGTGGCGTTTTGGCCCGCTGGCAGTATCGGGTCTCTCGTAGCCGCGTGTGCTGGAGGGTGCTTTCCGTCTGCTGGACCGGTGCCCGCCGTCCGCCGCCCGCTCTTGGCGCCAGTGGATCGGAGGAAGGTTTGGTGGCGATTCGGGTCAGCAACAGCAGCGACCCCCTCTTTATCTCTCTAGCCTTCATCAATGACATTGCTGACCGCCCATCACCCTGCTGGCCATTGTTCGGGATGCCCGTTCTCCTCATTGGACAACCGAAGCGGCATCACGTCATTTCCGCGTCTGCTTGTCTGTTTAAGCATCTGAAGAGGAGAGTCCTGGAGACGTGCCTTGTATGTCATTGTCCGTGTCTGAGGGGAGATGTTTTACCCACAAGCCTTGCATTGAGTGTGTTCACCTCCATTCGTATGTTCTCTGCCCACCATATGGTTACGGATGGCATTCAGGCGTTGGGTCCGTGGTCTGATCCGAATCAGGAGAGAAAGAGTGGATTTAGTCTAAAAAATCGACAGTTCATAGCTATGCAGCTGCCATGACGCAAGCTAGCACTTCCTGCATAGCACTTCCTCCTGAATGACATGGAGTGGCACTAGCGCATGGCAGCAGAGAGCTGGGAGTTACGACACAGACCTCACAGGCAGAAACGAGGTGGCCGATCGCACTGCTGTGCTCAGACGAGGGGGTTTTGTTTGCATTGGCATGGCACCCGGGTCTGTGACAGACTCATGCTGTAAAGCGGCCAAGCCTACAGATCATAAATAGGACGTCACACTGTTTACACTGCCTGAGTATACAACCATCATTTACTCAAATATCTGCCAATCACCACCCAAAACACTGGGCCTTCACTGATTGAAACTGAAACTTGATGGAAAGGTCTCAGGAAGCCTGGAAATACCTATTTTATCCTTCAAACGCATATCTCTTTTTGGAGTTCATACATGAACCTGATTATACATAGGGCTGGGTGGTATGATATATTGTGTTACCACGATAGATGTGATCACAGGCATTTGTATACATACTGTATATACATATTTGAGGTCAATGGCATGATGCTCTTTTTAATTTTTGTTTTGGCCAGACAAAAAAATGGTTTCATTCAAAAAAGATGAATTTATTAATAAATAAACAAAAACTTTAAAGTGATACGATAGAGTGGACGCATGAGAGAACCTTAATGACTGTCTGAAAGTCAATATCCAATAATTTGATTTTAACTTTTTTATGACATAGTTTAAAATTTCATAGTATAACTCTCCTAAATAGTAATGATACTGTATTTATGAATTAATAATTCATTATTATATTTGTTAAAAAAAAAAAGTTTTTTCTTTTTTAAAAATAAAGATCATGTACACTTAAAAAAAAAAAAAATTCAGGATCAGTAAGAAAAAAAAGAAACAAATGAATAGTTCAGCAAGGGCCTATTAAATAAATCAAAATGACAGTATATTGTATAAAAGTCAGTTTTTAATAGGAAATTAATACATTTATTCAGCAAGGATGCATTAAATTAATCAAAAGTGACAGTAACTAAAATGTTTATAAAATTATAAAAGATATATATTTCCAATTAATTGTTCTTTTTAACTTTCTGTTCATCAAAGAATCCTGGAAAAATACATCACTGTTTCTAATATATAGCAGCACAACTGTTTAATGTCAACATTAGCTATGTTTCCATCCAAAGATGCGAATTTAACTTATTTGCAAAACTTGAATATCGCATAAAACATTTGTGAATAAAGCACCGTTTCCATCCAACGAGTCAAAAAGAACAAAATCGTCACTTCCTGATAAGCTGGTGCTAAATATCACTAAGAAAACTAGGAGAAGCCACTGAATATAATCATTTTCATATATGTGACCCTGGAGCACAAAACCTGTCTTAAGTCGCTGGGGTATATTTGTAGCAATAGCCAACAATGCATTGTTTGGGTCAAAATTATCGATTTTTATTATCGATAATTTTCTTTTATGCCAAAAATCATTAGGATATTAAGTAAAGATCATGTTCCATGAAGATATTTTGTACATTTCCTACCATAAATATAAGAAAACTTAATTTTTTGATTAGTAATATGCATTGCTAAGAACTTCATTTGGACAACTTTTAAAGGCGATTTTCTCAATATTTAGATTTATTTTGCACCCGCAGATTCCAGATTTTCAAATAGTTGTATCTCGGCCAAATATTGTCCTATCCTAACAATGGAACATCAATGGAAAGCTTATTTATTCAGCTTTCAGATGATGTCTAAATCTCAATTTCAAAAAATTGACCTTTATGACTGGTTTTGTGGTCCAGGGTCATATATGATAAATTACTTGCGTCTCAGAGCAAGCAGACGAAGCACAATAAATGCGGTCATTGCTTTCAGAGGTGGATGCCTGCTGTTTGGGAATGCAATAATGTAAGACAGTTATACAGACTTACTTTGACGACAGACTTTGCTCGAGCATTTCAGAACGACCAAAACAACATATAGATGCTGTGAACGAGATTGATCCGCTGCTAGTCAAGTTATCCCGTCTCATAGTGCAAAGTCACATTACTTTTTCAATGCGCATGGAAGAACTTATTCGGTAAATGTGCTTCCATTGTAGTTTATGCGCATTTTTTCTTATCAGATAAAAAGTTGATCCTACTCAAATGTGCGCATACGGTTTTTATGCGCATTTTTAGAATTTATTCGCATCTTGGCATTTCCATCCAGCGTTTTTTATGCGATATTCCAAAACGCTCATAAAAATAGGTGGATGGAAACAGCTACTGATAATAATCAGAAATGTTTCTTGAGCAGCAAATCATCATTAGAATGATTTCTGAAGGATCATGTAACACTGAAGACTGGAGTAATTATGCTGAAAATTCAGCTTTGATCACAGGAATAAATTACATTTTAAACTGTATTACAATAGAAAACAATTATTTTACAATATTACGGTTTTGCTGTATTTTTTTTTTATCAAATAAATGCAGCTTTGGTAAACATAAGACGCCTTACCAACCCCAAACTTTTGAACGGTAGTGTACACTCACATGTATTCAAGGAAAATATGTTGTTAATTTTCACTTGATTCATTGATTTAAATATTTGTTGAAAATGGTTTAAATGTTTCTAAATATTTCTAGGAACTTGGCACCTGTATTTTTTTTCTTTATCTTGAGCTCTCTTATTTGTCATTGACCCATTGACTATTTTAAAACTCTTTTGAATGTGGCTCATCCAATCAGAAATTACACTCAAAAGGTTTTTTTTTTGCATGATGTAAAGAAGTTTTTAAACTGAATATTTTTTGGGTTTGCATCCATCAAAGACAAAATAATCAAATGAGATGAAGTGCCTTTATTATCTAAAAACAGTAAGCCAAATGAAATACATTTCCATGATGATATACACCATTTCCGTCTTATAAATGACTCATAATAATATAATATGTTTGCTCATACTCCCCAGCCCTAATTATCACTGCAGAAAATGATATTGTTACATCCTTGACAAATGTTTAGTCAACAGTAGTTTCTAAGATCCTGGCTCTCCTGATCCTCGGTTTTCACTGCTTACTGAAGGTGGTGTGTGGCGTTATTATCATCTCAGGCCTTCAGTTCCTGCTCTCTGCACTGATGGAGGAGGTCATAACACACCCAGCTGTCTGCGATCCATCTTAAACTCATATAGCACACACGCATGGTAGTGCATAGGATAAGCAGTAGCAAAGTCCCTTTAAGACAAGTCATGTCACTCGGCGGCCATCTTTGAAACGCCTCTCGGGCATGCAAGTGCAACTCCTATCTCTTTGAATGGGGAAACATCAAGTTCTCCAAAACTGTTCACTAAGCTTACGATTAAATTTCATTTTTCAAATCACCAAAGAAATCTGACAACTACTGTGTCATAAATGTTGTTTCTTTTCCACAAATAGCGTTGCATGCGCAGTCCTAAGCGCACGTCTAAAAACGCTGACTGTTTCTATGGAAACCGGGACTTCTAACGGCAGCTGCAGTGACGCGCTGACTTTACCAATTAGTGATTGGCTCTTTCATTCAGAAGGCGGGGCTTCCTTCGAATGAGCGGCCATATTAAGCGTTGCATTTTTCCCCATTCAAAACTATACGAGTGACATGTCTTGGGTATTCTATAGCCTTTGGCAGTAGCTCAGTAAGCTAATTTCCGTGTCATTTCAGTAGAACAGTATTCAGCATCACTGTGCATAAGATATTTGTTTACTGTGAACGAGATTGATCCGCTGCTAGTCAAGTTATCCTGTCTCATAGTGCAAAGTCACATTACTTTTTCAATGCGCATGGAAGAACTTATTCGGTAAATGTGCTTCCATTGTAGTTTATGCGCATTTTTTCTTATCAGATAAAAAGTTGATCCTACTCAAATGTGCGCATACGGTTTTTATGCGCATTTTTAGAATTTATTCGCATCTTGGCATTTCCATCCAGCGTTTTTTATGCGATATTCCAAAACGCTCATAAAAATAGGTGGATGGAAACAGCTACTGATAATAATCAGAAATGTTTCTTGAGCAGCAAATCATCATTAGAATGATTTCTGAAGGATCATGTAACACTGAAGACTGGAGTAATTATGCTGAAAATTCAGCTTTGATCACAGGAATAAATTACATTTTAAACTGTATTACAATAGAAAACAATTATTTTACAATATTACGGTTTTGCTGTATTTTTTTTTTATCAAATAAATGCAGCTTTGGTAAACATAAGACGCCTTACCAACCCCAAACTTTTGAACGGTAGTGTACACTCACATGTATTCAAGGAAAATATGTTGTTAATTTTCACTTGATTCATTGATTTAAATATTTGTTGAAAATGGTTTAAATGTTTCTAAATATTTCTAGGAACTTGGCACCTGTATTTTTTTTCTTTATCTTGAGCTCTCTTATTTGTCATTGACCCATTGACTATTTTAAAACTCTTTTGAATGTGGCTCATCCAATCAGAAATTACACTCAAAAGGTTTTTTTTTTGCATGATGTAAAGAAGTTTTTAAACTGAATATTTTTTGGGTTTGCATCCATCAAAGACAAAATAATCAAATGAGATGAAGTGCCTTTATTATCTAAAAACAGTAAGCCAAATGAAATACATTTCCATGATGATATACACCATTTCCGTCTTATAAATGACTCATAATAATATAATATGTTTGCTCATACTCCCCAGCCCTAATTATCACTGCAGAAAATGATATTGTTACATCCTTGACAAATGTTTAGTCAACAGTAGTTTCTAAGATCCTGGCTCTCCTGATCCTCGGTTTTCACTGCTTACTGAAGGTGGTGTGTGGCGTTATTATCATCTCAGGCCTTCAGTTCCTGCTCTCTGCACTGATGGAGGAGGTCATAACACACCCAGCTGTCTGCGATCCATCTTAAACTCATATAGCACACACGCATGGTAGTGCATAGGATAAGCAGTAGCAAAGTCCCTTTAAGACAAGTCATGTCACTCGGCGGCCATCTTTGAAACGCCTCTCGGGCATGCAAGTGCAACTCCTATCTCTTTGAATGGGGAAACATCAAGTTCTCCAAAACTGTTCACTAAGCTTACGATTAAATTTCATTTTTCAAATCACCAAAGAAATCTGACAACTACTGTGTCATAAATGTTGTTTCTTTTCCACAAATAGCGTTGCATGCGCAGTCCTAAGCGCACGTCTAAAAACGCTGACTGTTTCTATGGAAACCGGGACTTCTAACGGCAGCTGCAGTGACGCGCTGACTTTACCAATTAGTGATTGGCTCTTTCATTCAGAAGGCGGGGCTTCCTTCGAATGAGCGGCCATATTAAGCGTTGCATTTTTCCCCATTCAAAACTATACGAGTGACATGTCTTGGGTATTCTATAGCCTTTGGCAGTAGCTCAGTAAGCTCATTTCCGTGTCATTTCAGTAGAACAGTATTCAGCATCACTGTGCATAAGATATTTGTTTATGAGCGTATGCTAAATCTGTTGCATTACTGTGATCGTCAATGTTTACTGTTCTCCCCCTGTTTCTCCTCCTGTCCACAGTCTCTTATTTTCGATGAGGTGGATCTTTCAGATGCCAGTGTTGCCGAATCAAGCACAAAGAATGTCAACAACAGTTTCACGGTAAGCGGCCACTTCCATGCTTTATGTCAACACAGGTGAATATCCACAATATACCACAAGTAGACAGCACATTAGATGTGTAATATTGACTATTAGTCTGCCGGATACTACAGGATCATGCAGTTCTCATAGCAACTAGTCAGTCAATTTCACAAGTGTCGAGGTGAAGTGTGTCATTTTTGCGCCTGGTGTTATATGGTGTTTGTCCATTCACTGATTACATTAGGCTATTTGCCCCCACTGTCATTTTTTTTTTTTAATAGAAAGTAAAACTATTTAGTTTTAGGTTAGTTCGCATTTGGCATTATTTCTATGATTAATATAAGTGGCTTTATTTTTATTTTGTTCTTGTTGTTGTTGTTGTTGTGTTTTTAATTAAAAATTATAATTCACTAAAAACTGGCATGTACTGTAGTATTGGCTTGAAACAGGATTGCAAGATTTTTATAACTCCAACTTTGGTTACACTTTATTTTGATAGTCCGCTTTAGACATTTTATTAATATCTGCGCTGCGTAATATCATTGCGCCTGCTGCACCCATGGCACGGCAGCAAAGTTCCTTGATTATTACGCCGGAATGAGAGTATAGTTCCTAGCCACATCGGCCTAGAAAATCTAAACTTTTAATTTTCTGTCGGTCTTAGTACATGATGTAACTACAGAAGAGTCAAGTTTTAAATATGAAAAATATAGAAACTCTTTGGTCATTTTTGAGCGAGATGCTAACGGTCTAATCAGATTCAATGATCTATGCTAAGCTACAGCTAAAAGTGCTACCGCCAGACCCGGAGATCGGCTGAATGGATTCGAAAACGGTAAAACTCAGCTGTTTAACTCTAGAGGAGTTGGAATATGAGCCTATTTTCAAAAATAGTGGAGTGTTCCTTTAAGTTA